ATAAAAAAAAATGACAAACACTATATAAAATACATAAAATTATTTTTTAAAAATATTTCTATATAAATTTTTTAAATAGTCTCTTAAATAATTTTAAGAGACAAATATTATAAAATTTAAAATGTATTACTGAAAAAGATTTTGAAATGATATTTTATTTTATTTTATTTTTAAAAATATTTTGTTAAAGTTAGAATATTTGGTTGAAAATCTGCACTTGAAAGTATAGATCAATAATTTTATCTATTCTTAAGAAAATTAAAAATATATTGAAAAAAATATACATTTTAGTCTAATTTTTTTTTTTTCTTGAAAGGATTTTCTAAAGACTGCTAAGAAAATTCTATACCTAATTTCTTTTAAATCAATAATTATATTTAAAAATTTTCAAGAATAATATGAAAATTAATTGTTTTTGTAAGATATAATTTTAAAATACACATAAATATATCATTTAATAAAATATTTTAGTAAGATATGAGGTTTAAGAAATTTTTAAATGAACAACATTTTATTTAAGAAAAGAGTAAATTTTACAACAAAGTTATAAAATTCCTTTATAAATACATAAAGTCTATGATCCAAAATGTTATTTAATACAAATTCCAATCTCAACTCTATACAAAGATATTAGATAGGCCTTCTAAGTAATTAATAACATTTCATATTGAGACAAAGAAACGATTTACTTATTTCACAATTATTCAAATCTTTATAAATACTCTCATTAAATACATCTAAAATATTATTAGTTATAGTTTTAATCTTCAAGAATATTACCAAACACCAAAACTTACTTCTATAATTATGATACTACATGCACCACATCTTGTCAAATATATATATATATATATATATATGTCTGTAAAACATGTCTGTCCTAAATAACTTTTACTTAAGAATTCTTTAATATATACTTCTTAAGATATAATTGTAAGAATTTTTTTTTGGATGTGTATATATATATATATATAAATATACATATATAATATACTTTTTTGTTTTTGTTTTTCTTAGTAAGTTTAGAACAAACTTTGTAAAAGATTTTGAAGAATGCCCTTTCGGACTTGATTCTTCTATTTTCTATTGTTTCCATGCTGGTGGTTGGTATTTGGATTGCAAAAACGTGATTAATAAAAAGCAAAAGAACAAATTTGAAATACTTGCAAATTTTTTGGATGCCTTTCATATGCACTTACTAATATTGCAAATACTATTAATTAACATCCATACTAATTTGAATTCGACAGTCAAATGGAGGGGTTGCTTGATTGTTAGCATTGACTGTCCTCTTTGTTTTTATTCTAAACCAAGACACTGAAGTCTGCACTCGTCGAAAAGCAGTGAGCATGACCACTTCAGGGGTGCATTCACAACGTGCTTTGCTGTGTCCATGATCACAAAATCTCATCAGGATGTGATTCCACGGCATATGTCGAACTAATCTCCTGCACCAAGCATCATGTCGAAGCTCTCAGAACCGTTAAATGACACCATCCCATTTTACTATGCATTTCCAACGAAGGTCCATCTCAGTGCCTCACGCTCGATGCTTGGTGGGCCCAGGTGAATCCTACCCCTGGAGCGCTGTTTTTGTTGAGAAGCAGTGCAAGGATTCCGAGATGCCACCTGAGGTTATCTGAGCTCGCAGTTACTATCATTGGGTTTCATCTCAGGTAGATTGTTGAGCCGAAATATTCTGGCACGGAAGTGTTTGTTTGGTGGAGGCTATTGTGAAACGAATGTCTCAGAAAAAGTATGCAGCTCTATATTTGGGCTCTCTCACATGGTTTACCGCCTCCTTTCGCGACGAACTCGCAGTTATGGACCGTGGTGAGGTCTTCTCGCTTTAAAACCCCTCGCGGTCCCTCGACTGCAGCAAGTCTCCCACTTCTCGTTCCTCGCTGGGATCAGGCGAAGGGTGCCGAGAGGTAGTTCAGGGATTTTTCGCACAGGCGCCAACATCACGGTTCACAATTTCGGTCTGATCAGCACAGTGGTGCGTTGCGAAGTGCATTGGCGAAATCTTTCTGATCTACCCGCAATGGGGAGCATGTCAAGATGCATTTTCTCGGCACTGGTGATTTTAGTCGCCGTATGTTCGGTTGCGAAGCCCGCGTCAGCAGCGGAGTTCAGAACTCTCTCCGGACAGGGAAGCGACAGCGATTCGTCGTGGGATAAGTGGCTAGAATCCGTCCGCGTCGAGTACGAAAAGAAGCAGCAGCAAAGTGTTCTGGGCGTCGACGAGACTATGACAACACAGGCGGCACCGAAGGGGAAGACCATTTATGTGAACAAGCAGAAAGGGCCGTACAGGACTGTTCAGCAGGCTGTGAACGCGGTACCGAAGGGCAACACGAAGCGCATTGTGATCTACATTCCTGACGGCGTTTACAAGTAAGTCATGGGCCCGTATTTTGACGAGAGCTGGTGAGAAGTGGATGGTGTTGGGGTTATTGGCGGTGATGGGTGAGTTGACGTGGTTTTTGTTTGGGAATGGTGCAGGGAGAAGATCTTGGTACCGAAGACGAAGCCGTTTATCACGTTCCAGTGCCAGAGCAGGAAAGCGACGTTGGTGTGGGGAGATACAGCTGCGAAGGCGGGAGGAACGGCGAAGAGTGCTTCTACTGCGATCGAGTCGAAGGGGTTCATTGCTTATGACTGCACGTTCGCGAACTCTGCACCCGCTCCACCGGGCGGCGCTGTAGGGAAGCAGGCGGTGGCGCTTCGGATCCAGGGAGACCAGGGCGCATTCTACCGATGTGCATTTTTGGGAGCGCAGGACACGTTGTACGACAAGGAAGGACGTCACTACTTCAGGGATTGCTACATTCGGGGGTCTATCGATTTTGTATTCGGCGATGGGCAGTCGATCTACAAGAAGTGTCTGATCGAGTCAATCGCAAAGGGCACGAGTGGGTCGATCACAGCTCAGAAGAGGGAGAGCTTTTCGAGGACGGGTTTCGTGTTCGACCAATGCACGATCAGGGGAAGCGGGTCTATCTACCTGGGACGTGCTTGGGGGACGCACTCTCGCGTGGTGTTCTGCAGGTGCAACATGGCGAACATAATCCGTCCGATCGGGTGGCAGGACTGGGATGATAAGAGGAGGCAGAAGACGGTATTCTACGCCGAGTATGCGTGCACGGGTCCCGGAGCGAACAGGAAAGGTCGCGCGCCGTGGTCGAAGGTTCTGAGCGCCGCACAGGCGAAGCCGTTTTTGGATTACGGATTCATCGACGCCAAGCAGTGGCTGCCGTATGTGTAGAGTAGGGTGGGCGTAGGTGAAGGTGATGGGTACGTGGGAAGGGTGGAACGATTGGTTAGATAGGAAGATAATTATTTGGAGATGGGTGGGGTGAAGATTGGTATTCATGTTAAGCATTCTTTGTTTCCAATAAATGAGAAGCAGAGCAGCGCGATGCGATCGTTGCTGTGGTTGGTTTTATTGTGTCGTTGGAGCGTGGATGTGCTTTCACAGTGGAGTGCGTACTGTTGCTGTGCAGTGCGGTGGGAGTTGGCGATCGCTTAGTTCTGGCAGATGTGAGATGTGCATACACAGGTGGGTAGCCGCGGAGAGGTAGGAATGTGTTTGAGTGATGAGAACTTGGTAGTGGTGTGGATAGAGGGAGGGTGGAAGTGTAGAAATCCATGGCATTGTCGGGGCAGCCACAGACAAACGCAGTGCGAACTCCTGGCAGCAAGGATCAGGTCCAGAAGAAGAAGGTGAGGTTTTGATATGCCTGGCAGTGAGTTTTGCAATGGAAGTAGTGTCATGCATGTGGGCTCCGAACACGGGTATGCGGAGGAACCTTTCGTTCCAGCACGATGCTCATGGATGGCTTTATTTCGACTGCGTGTGGATACATGGCATGATTTTTGTTTGTCTGCATTATTTCACTACGGAGCACTCGCCGACCTTTGATGTGAAGTCTGCATGGAAATGAAGTGAATACTTGTATTGCATGATCACACAATTCCATATGTCCCTCATAGTCGATGTGAAAGTTCGTTTAAAAGCAAATGTAAAGAACGATGTAATGAAAATGTTCTTTCGAGATTCCCATTTGGTTGAAGATGCACTGGTAGGAGTTGGAGTGAAATCCATAACATGAGAACTGAAGATGAGTATATATAAAGTTAGTGTGAACTCCAGAACGCGATTATAGTTGCTTCAGTGCATAGTGACAAGTGCAAACACGAGAATGTAATAGAAGTTATTTACAAATGAAATGATTGGACTTCGTATCCAATCTATATAATTTAGACAGTTGTATTTGTAATAATTACAAATGGATCTTTAATAAGTGGAGAGATAGAAGAGTTCTACAGAAATATCTCATGGAATATTTGACAGTCGATCAAACTATACCATAAGATGTGCAATTACAAATTATAATCTCACCATATAATGTATTGAAGTATACAAATTGAGTGATATTTAAATAATAAATATATTCATAAAGAAGTTTGATTATAAGGACTAGATAAAGTTCAATAAAAGTATAACGTATTTAACATGTATATAAGATAGAATAGATATTCTTGTTTATGTTTAGTTGTTAAAAGATATTTTATATTATGTATGTTATTTATGAAGACTTATTTAGATAATTATTCTTTTTGAGGAAATTTTAAAAAAATCTTAAAATAAGAACTAAGAACTATCATAAGTAAAAAAGTAACCAATTTTTTTTATATCCATTATTATCATGGATTTTCAGTAGATTTTATATTTACTAAAGATTCTATTTAAGAAAATTATAATATATCTTTTGATATTCTTATATAATTGATAGTTTATTTATTTTATCTTCAAATTGATAAACAAATCATAATTTTGTATCAAGTTTTAGAAAAATTTCAATTTATTATTTATTATTATGAAGGTATTTATATATATATATATATAATTATTTGATTCATTATATATAATTATTTAATTATTTAAACTTGTTGGATATGAAGAGTAAAAAGAGCTAATGTATAGAAAAATGTTGGTGGTTTGATTGTGGGAAAAGAATTAATTTCTTTATTTTTAGATGAGATTTTTTTACTTATATAATAATATTTGGATCTACTTTCTTATCTAAACTTCATTCAATATATATATATATATATTTGTATAATTACAAAAAAACCAAATAAATTTAGTTGGCAATAATAAAAGTTTAAATCAACATTCACTTATCATTAAAACAATTATGGTAAAATTTTAATACATTTACTATGAAACTTTCACTATTGAAGCTTTTCTTTGATGTTATCTATCAATATTAATAATATCTCAATAAGAATAATGATCCTCAAAGTATACATGTACTTTTTTTTTTAATCAGATATTTGATGAGAAACAATGTGTTTAATACAGCATATTTTTTGCAGCAAGATTCAGGGTGCTCTAACACATCAACTGCAGAGAAACCACATCTTGGAAAGAAACAGGTTCTGGTTTGCTTATCGATCTATTTGTTGATGTTTTAGCACAAACAAACTGGATTAATTGCAGAGAAACCGGTTCCCTCACCCGCTTTCTAAACAGGATTGCAGATGGTGCTTCTCGACGTCACTGATATCACTTGTTCAGGAAAAGACCCACAATACGTAGATGCAAAACAGCTATTCATTAACAAAAAGGATAACGAAACGGATATCACGGTGTTTATCGAAGTTTTGCCAACAATTGGAACGTTGCGAGTAAAGATGTGCCGAAGCACTCACTTAACTAAAGCAAAAAAATATTAATCTATTCATCGCTGACGGAGTGTTGACCAATGAAACTTATGTAACTAATCTGTAGCGAAGTGAACACTAACTCTAAAAGAGAATCAATTTACTATCTACAACTACCAATTCCAAAAGCCAACAATGCATGAGACGCATGCTAGCTGTCCTGGCACTCTAATTGCAAAAACTCTGAAAAACAATCTTCAAATAATGCTTTACAAGGAAAACAGCTCAAGCATCCACAAAGAAAAGTTTCAGGAAGCATTTTCTAAAATCTTTCTCTAACGACGACGACTTCAAGTGCCTTTTATTTTCGATGCAAGAGGTGATCTTGACGCTATGGTTCGCAACTGTTGAAGGCTTCGCCATCGATGGCACACTTCCGAAACCCAGGTTTGATCCTTCCACCGTTGCCTTCATAAAAATTAATGGCAGGCTGGTTGGAATGCAGCAAACACCATTCTATCCTCTCCATCCCTAGCTTCACAGCCTCCTTGGCAATTTTCTTGAGAAACATCGTGCCCAATCCCATCCTTCTGTAAGGTTTCCTGATATGAAGAGCCTCCATATACAAGCCTGGTTTCGCAAGGTAGGTCGAGTAATTTGGGAAAACGTGAGCAAAGCCAGCGACAATACGAGAGTTCTTGCCATCGACACATGGTGACTGAAATGCCTCACGGTCTGGATCCTCTACCAAACTGCCCGCCGAAAATTCACCTATGACCTCAGCGTAGAGATCCTCGCTGCCAGAATTGATCCTGGGAATCCCTCTAGGCGCCTCAACGACTTCGGACGCGGCAATTGCAGGAGCGCTGGTGTCGTGTTCTTTCAGGTTCATGTTACTGGCAGATCGGAAAACCTCTAGGACAGGCTCCTCCATATCCGTCTCCTTGTTGGACTGCAAAAGGGACTTTGGGGAGCTGACTTCATTTAAGAACACTCCATCTGAGGCTTTCGGAGAACAGGCTTCACTGAAGAACCTCCCTCTGTACTTCACATTGCTTACGGATCTAAACAACATTAATTCCACCGAAGCTGTATTTCCTAGCAGAACTTCACTGGTGTTGACAGGAGGTACCTTCTCAATCTCCCCTGATGTGTCTGACAAGGGCTTTGTCACAACGGTACCAGACATAGCTTCGTCGTCTTTGTTCTGACTAGCAGCTTCCTTCGTGGGCTCCTCAATCTCAAGAATGAAGACTGTAGGCCCCTGAAATGGTGCGTGCGTGAAGAGGAGCTCATTCAGCCCGATGTCCGTGGATTTGCAGCTGGACCTCATTTCCTCTACTTCAGCAAGCTCATAAACGAGTGCATTGATAAGTGGAACATCTAACCGGGTGGCCAGTCGAACGGTAGCAGCCATTGCAGAAGTCTGATGCGCACACGCCCTGAAGATTACCAAGTATAAAACTCTCTGCACAAGCATTTAAAAACACGATTCTTAATCTCAAAGTATGAAAGCAAATATGGCTGATCGTAAGGAGCATTTATAAGACTAACAGACTGAGAACGAATCCATTTAGGTTGCTCCAGCGTTACTACAACTTCAAATGATCCAAAGATGCTGCTGATGAGCTATCTTCTCAGAGCAAAACCTTTTCACGTGGTCTGACAACGGGCTACAAAGAAAGACTGTAATGGCTCCATAACGTTCAAAGCATAATGCATCTTCGCGATCCGCAATTTCCGGTACAATAGACCTTCAATTAACAAGAGGAACCACTTGGTAATGAAAAAGAGCGACCCTAAAAAGCATTAAATGCTAATTCGTGTATGCTGTCATCGTCGAGGGAGAATGATAATCCCAGACAGAGACTCCATAACGTCAAATCCTTGGACCACATTCCTCGTTATCCACAAAAAGTTGGCCCCATATAGATCACACAAGTAACTCAGAAAAAGGATTCAAAGCCTTCCTGGATCGTGACTTGTGAAGTCAGGGAACCCAAAATGAAAATGCAATAGAATCGGCACCCATCCATCAATAGAGGAAATCATAAAGAACTGACCTAAAAGATTCTGAAAAAAACTGTCGATAACAGGGCAAGTCAATCCGAGGTAAGTTTTAGAATCCAGCTACTGCTTCGCATCAGACGCAGCCTAGTGAGCCCAGGTAGATGATACGAGACGGCGCTGCAACTCCTCTTGCTCGCCCTTGAAAGGATTATGGAACCAGTTCTTGTTACCCTGGATGGAGTTGGGCAGAGAAGAGAAGATGTGCGGGTTGGAGCCGTAGTCGGCAGAGAGGAGGATGGCGGTGTACAATGCCGTGGCAGAAACGGTGATATTGTGCAGGAAACGATACTTGGTGCCAGTACCCATCGCAAGCTCGATCACCTCATTTGCACCATAGCATGCAAAATCTAGCCAAAACCATGGCTCGGACCTTACGGACAGTATCTAACGTCTCAAGCTAAAAAACCTTCAAACCCTGCTCAGAATAACTCCCTCCCCGTTGATCATCAGAAGATGGCTCTTCGAGCACGATGCTCCTTCGATCTAGACTTTCGAACGCTCGTGCATAACCGTGAGAACGAAATCCTGAAGGAGTGAGCTTTCAAAACACAATCTATGACCGTGGTGATTTTGATAATGTCTGCCTACGATCGACTATTCAGAGACTAGCCCAAAAGTTTAGGGTAACGCTAAACACGGTTTATATGTTCGGGAAGACGAAAACCGTGATTCGATACCACAGCTCGATATCCGCCACGTGGTGCATTACATTTAAAAGTTTTGGCGCCTCACACTTCTTCAGTCGTTGGCCGCAGAATTTTCGAGTATTCTTGCATCACCACTAATGAATATATGTTTGAATAGGGTGCTAATTAGGTTAGGCTTTCGATTAGTTCGTACCCAACTCAACATCTGTAGTGCCTGCTGAACTTTCGAGATATACGTCTTCGCTTGAGAGCCAAAACAATATATTGTCTGATGTCGTTGACGTCATTATGAGTGGCACGAGAATGTGGTGGTGAAAGCCAATTACAGTCGAATTGCTAGATCTGTTGGGCTGCCCTTGTTGCTGGGGTGTGGTTGTCTTTCAAGTATGTGCGCTTAAGAGCAGGATGGGAAAAGGATCTATTGGTAGTGGTTATGACTGCGAGGAGGAATTGAGAGAGGACGAAGAGGAGGAGAGTCAAGAGGAAGCGGGAGAGGAAGAAGAGGAGGAAGAGAGAGAGGAAGAAGAGGATGAAGAGGAGGAAGAGGAAGAAGGGGTGAATGTGAGGGAAGATGATGAAGCTGAATCTCAAAAAGCACAAAATGTGGCCGCTTTGATAAGGTAATGCATTCAGTGGTGATTCACAACGCCAATTATGACTTGTGTTTTCAGTTACAATTCCACCCTTGAAGTTTAGCGGCGTGCTGGAGAGTCGGTTCATTTTTTAAGACTTGTAGCTTTTGAGTTTCGCGAATTGATCATGTTGAGGTGATGGCGGGAAGTACGTGCATTGGTTGACCTATGATGGTGTGTGGCAGGGGTGATGTGCAAGTGAATAGACAGGCATTGCTCCCGAAAGTCCTTACAGTATCAGATGCAGCAGTAGTTATCAGGAGACCATTCAAGTCTCCATGCCCTAAAGCTTCCTCTGGTTCCAACATCGAGCTTCTTCGTCGTCTTTCAGCTCGGAAGCGTTTTATCCCATGGGGTTGTTCAAGATCACCACTCACTTCTATCACAAATACACCAATACCACTTGCCCCTGCGAAAGAGGAGGAGCCTCTCAAGATAGAGCTCCCTCCAGGGGTTGAGCCTCTGGTTTTGTGGCAGCCAGATGAGAATGATGGGGGTTCTGAAGAAGGACCAGCTGAAAAACTACAACCTATCATTGTGGATCCTCACCTTACAAAATTCTTGAGACAACATCAAAGGTGGTCCTCTTTAAAGCACGTTAATGCAATTTGCATTGCAAGTAATTCTTTGTAACACACGTATCATGAGTGCAAACGTGCAGGATTCGAAGAATATATATGATATTTTTGAGGCCTCGATCAGTTGAAGAGCGTTATGTGCACTGCTGTGCAGAAAGTCTCAGAAATTAATTCAGATTGTCACATGTATTTATGTTGGCGCAAATTTGCAGGGAAGGTGTTCAGTTTATGTTCGAGTGCGTAGCTGGTCTTCGTGGCATGGCGATATCAAAAGACGAGAAGGCTACTTCTGGTGGTTGCATTCTTGCAGATGACATGGGGTACACTATTACGTTGTCCATGATATCTGTAGTTACATACTCTTTTTTAGCAAACCTAGAACTGTTGGACTCTATTGCACACTTCTTCTCATTATCTTTCCATGTGCTCGACAACCATGCATATGGACCAGTAAAGAAAGATGAGAAATGTTTGAAAATGGGCTCCAACTTTTTGAAGGTATTCGTGATTTCGAGGAACTTCAGAATGACCGTAGAGGGTTGCTTATGGAGCAGGAAGAGCGCTGAATCGTTGTTTTTCCCACAGATTGGGCAAAACTCTGCAATCGATCACTCTTATGTGGACGCTGTTGAAACAAGGCTTTGATGGGAGGCCAATGGCAACGAGAGTTGTAATTATCACTCCAACTAGTCTTGTGAGCAATTGGGAACAGGAAATTACCAAATGGCTGAGTCACAGTACTGTGAATGTGCTGGCTATGTGTGAGTCAACCCGATCAGATGTCCTTCAGGGAATTTCTACTTTTCTCTCGCCACAGAACTTTTATCAGGTAAATCAGACTTTCGTTATATCTGAAAATGCTCACTAGAAAATTTCGTCATTATGCGCTTCTAACTGTGTGGTTACGGACAATTGTGTATAGTCCAAGTTAGTAGAGGAATCGGAGTTGCAATTGAAGGTGTGATGTAGCATTGACATGATGTGTAACATTACGAGCTTAATTCGCTCTATTCAGGCAATCTGTGCAAAGTTTCGTAGCTACTGTCTAGATATCGAGATCATCATGGATAAATTTGAGTGGTACAGAAAAACAGAGACACAGTCTTGTAATGATTTGATTTGGATGTATTCGAATGTGCTCTGCACGGACAACTAGCTCAGTTTTCCTAAATAATATTGAAGTGTGCTTGCAACGCTTATAAAGTTGTGATTGGTCTCATACTAATAGCGTCACATTATGTCTCAGGTTCTTATCATTTCATACGAAACTTTCCGCATGCATGCAGCAAGATTTGAGAAAGAAGGTAGCTGCGACCTTCTCATTTGCGACGAAGCTCACAGGCTCAAAAACGACAAGACACTTACTAACCAGGTCCGTAAGCGCTTGTATTCTCAATGGATGATCGCCGATAATGGCACTTCTAATTGAAGAACAGGTTCTGATCTCCTTTTTGTACCATTATGCAAAATGTGAGACACTAGGATTTTAGACTTGCTCAAGTTCTAATATTTCTCAGTAACTCAATACTATGGTAGGTCCCTTGATGCAAAATTGCCCGAGTAGCATACAAATTAGCTTCTACATAATAGCATCAGGCGCTTGCTTATGAGTGGAACTATCACTGTCTGTTTGAAGATCTCTGATATTTGGAGGGGACGTAACTCATGCAGGCTCTCGCTTCTCTTCCATGCTTTAGGCGTGTGCTATTATCTGGTACTCCTATGCAGGTAATGTTACTGTATCTGAGTGCTTTGGTCGCTCTGAAGTGATGCCTCAGCCTTCAGACGATCCTTTGAAGGAGAACCCATGTACATCTTTGAAAAGCAGAGTTTACCTGTCCTTTTTTCTCTTTGAAATGGAGGGCGATTATTATTCTGAATTCAAAGTTTTCTTGTTCTAAAACTGCAGAATGACCTAGAGGAGTTTTATGCTATGGTCAATTTTACAAATCCTGGAGTTCTCGGCAATGCAAGCACTTTTCGTAAATACTATGAGGTAAGCCTCTCAAGTTCTCGTGAATTTTGTCCCCAAGATGTCTTTGCCTGTCCTGATTTACCTTCTGAACTGCAGTAAGCCTGATAGACATTCTGTTCTTGCCAGAACCCAATTCTGACCGGGCGGGAGCCTGATGCTACTGATGAAGCCAGGGCAATAAGTATTGAACGATCAGCAGAGCTTAGTGAGAAAGTGAATCAGGTATTTTTCTTGCCTCTACTTTTGAATTTCTGACCTTTTCATGCGACGAAGTCTTGTACTGTGATATGTAGACTTGTGTCTGACCAGAATGTGCTTAATGGCAGTTCATATTACGGCGGACAAATGCTTTACTATCAAATCACTTGCCACCTAAGGTATGGCAATTCTTTGTTCGTTTTATTATGAAAGCCCATCACGTTACCATGTCAGTCCTGTCTTGTGAGTAGCCATATTGCAGGCTGCAGAGATACTACATTCTATTGTACATTATTTAGAGCTTCTGTTGGAGGAGATTTCTTAGTTTTCAAGTCTTTTGAGGAGCAAGAAACTACTACTGTTGCCGGCTTTCTGATTTCCCCATGAGCCCTGTGCAGATAGTAGAGGTTGTTTGTTGTAAATTGACGGAGCTTCAAACGAGTCTATATCGACACTTCATACGGTCAAAGAATGTGAGTCATTTTAATCAAAGAAAGTCGTCTTGACTCTGAGAATGTGAGTCTTGGGGTGAGTTGCTTTCTGCAGCAAGTAGCTTCGAATATGACATGTTGCCCCTTCACAACTACAGTTGGAGCAAACAAAAACACAGGATTTTGTAGATTCTTAATTGTTTATCTTGTCGAATTTTTTCTCGTTTCAGTGCTACAACATGTTATTTTGGCTGAAGGTATATACATTGTGTGCTAAATGTGGCAGGTTCGTCAAGCCTTGGAAGACCAGACAAAGCGAGCTAAAGTATTAGCATCAATTACAGCATTGAAGAAGTTATGCAATCATCCGAAGGTTCTGAGTTTCTGTATTCTTACATGATTGCTTCGGAGCTGTCCAGCTTTAAAATACTCTTATTGGCGCTGTTGTTATGTATTAGTAGTTGGTTCCAAGAGAATACCCAATATATTTCTGGTTTTAATTTAGATTTTAAATTTTAAAATATTTTGAGAATGCTAGATTCATTTTCCTTACGCTTTTATGTGTGCAGCTCATCTATGACACCATTCGTGCTGGTGGATCTGAAGCTGCTGGATTTGGTGACTGCCTGAAATTGTTTCCACCACACTTGGTCGCTAGCCGGTACGCGCACAAAATTTGTATACGTGCTTAAAAATTTCACGTCGAAAGCATTCTGACCAACCTCGTAGATATGTGGAATTGCAGGAGTAGCTCGTGGCCTGACTGGATTGAATTGTCCGGGAAGATGGCAGTATTAGCTCGATTGCTTTCGGAGCTGCGCTGCAAGACTGATGACCGCATCGTTCTCGTCTCGAACTACACCCAGGTGTGCTGCCCTAGTGCCAGCAGCCTATTTGAGTCTTTTACTTTATGTATCAATTGGCTTGACTTTTCAGTTTACTAATTTTTATGGCAAAAACTCCCAAACACTGCCCTTGTCATGGACTAACTGTGGCCAATCAACAGACTCTCGATTTATTTGCTCAGATTTGCCGTGAGAGGAACTATCCATTTGTGAGACTGGACGGGACTACCTCAATTGGTAAACGGCAAAAGTTGGTTTCTAGGTTTAATGACCCGAATCAGGTAAGATATGTAGGGAGATGACATCTGGCATACAAAATAGTCAATTGGTAACCAGTTCTCTATGAAATTTTAATGCAGTTGTATACTTTTACGTGTATCGACTTGATGAATGTTTCTGACCGGCGCCTTCTTGTTCAAGCGCAGAACGAGTTCGCTTTCCTTCTAAGTAGCAAAGCAGGAGGCTGCGGTTTGAATTTGATTGGAGGCAATCGATTGGTGCTATTTGATCCTGATTGGAATCCTGCAACTGATAAACAGGTAAAGAACTTCTAGTTCACAAATGATTGCGTTACCAAATGATGCAATGAGGAGCATGTTTTGTGAGTGATTGTTACATCCGTCTTACCTAATAGAGATTTGTCGGCGCTACTCCACTGCAGGCAGCAGCTCGAGTTTGGAGGGATGGGCAAAAGAAAAGAGTATATGTTTATCGGTTTCTTGCCAGTGGAAGCATTGAAGAAAAGGTATGGAGTACGGAACCGAGTTAATGAAATGACTTCAAGGTTGGACATCATTTACTCGGACTAATGGTATACGACTATTGATTGCTGTAGGTATTCCAACGCCAGATGTCTAAAGAGGGCCTTCAGAAGGTAGTTGATAAAGAACAATCAACTGACGCTAAAGCGCAGGTTTGTGAGCCATTTGACACTGCTGATATTGTTCTGAGTATCCAACATAGTGCATCCTCTTTTGAAACTTAGAAACCATGACTAAACTGAACGTTGTTTCTGATGAAACGTTGTAATCAACTTGTGCAGGTTAACATGTTGTCTACCGATGATCTCAGAGACTTGTTCACACTTCGTGAAGACGTTAGGTATTGATATCAGCCAGACAAGAGAAATATTGTTTTGAGAGGGTTCAGTTCATTTGATACCTTGATTTGGCTTGCCTACGATTGCTAACTTTGCAATCTGACAGGTCTGATACGCACGATTCGATTAGCTGCGAACGGTGTGACGCGGAAGGTGGCCCTGGGGAGATGACAAGCACTTCCGACATCTCTGCTGTCATGGTTGAGGACATTGGAGAGTTTGCTAAGGTCGCTGGATGTGCTGGCAAGCTGAGATCGTGGGAGAGACAGGTGTGTATAGCCAACTTTGGGGTAAATCCATGCTCAGCTGTAAAACATTCTCTCTTAGGGCCTTTTTTTCCCTCGCACAACTTTTTATCTCGGTTTGCGTATGTGATAGTAACGTGGACGAACTGTCTGCTCAGGTTGGAACACCTGCTGAAGAAGACCTCTTGAGCTGGGCTCATCACTCTGATTCTTCCACCATCCCTGATGCCATGCTGGAGGCTGCTTCTAGAAATCAGGTGCTCGTCTTAAGCAATGTCTCGCATGCAATACAATTGCGAAAGTCGTGAGTATTTTTGAAGATCCTGAACTTATTCGTGTAATTTGGCTGGGGTGTGTAGATTTCATTTACCTTTACCTGCCAGATTGATGGCAAACTCACCCCCATCGACAGTTTTCCACGCTCATCGGCACTCTATACTACTCCCTCCTTGAAGGCTAGAGCATGTGCAATACCTGTTACTAGAACGTTGCGTGATCCCAAGATCTCACAAACCCCGAATTCATTTACCAGTGGGCCCAGCACGAATATTAGGGAAGAGCTTGGGGCAGTTACTACAGCCCAGTCAATTCTACGTGGGCTGCCTCCTTCTGCAAGAAAAGCTGAAGCACCTGGGATCGTTACTCCACCAGCGAGGTCGATTCTGCGTGGACTTCCCCCTTCTGCAAAAAAATCGCCTGCGACCGTGTTGCCGCGAACGCCAGTCTTGCCTCCCAAGAAGCGCCCAAAGATCACTATTGTCCACAAAGCTAGCAGACACATTGCTGCTTCACAACATTCGTCAGACGAGAGCAGTGCCTCTGAATTTGTAGCTGACGATGACGAAGATGACAACGACGAAGACTTTGCCTGATAATTAGCGTGCAATTGCGGCCTGTATTATAATTTTGCGACTAGATAATGAACTCTGGCAATTTTTTTCTTAACGTTTATCTACCTATTATCCTTGTCGAAACCCATGGTGGGTCACTCAACCTGAGATGTCAACCATTTATTCTTTCAAAGCACTTTACACATGTAAGGAATATTGATTTCACCTTCTGTTTTGTTCGTAAGGACACTGAAACAAATTCTTTGATTCAAACACTGCTCATCAGCATAATACATATGGTTGCGATCATAATGCTGGTATGATCGGCCTTAGCCCTGGCAGATTTAGAGTTGTGATTCTTCTTACAAATGTAAGTCCTCTTTCACACCCAGTATTAAAGGAGATGAAAAGTCTTGCAATTGCATCCTTTAACTTGTGTGTGCCTGTGCATGTTTTTGTTCTTTACTCTTTCTTTGTTTTTAAAAACAATGATTAAGTAATCATGTCAACCATCATAAATTACACTTCATCAATAATGCAGTTCAATTTATTTTTTTTAAACAGCTAGGGTGAACTTGTATTGATTGAAGAGAAAATAATAAAAAGAAGATTGCCTTAGGTTCTAATACCTTGGGACAAGGTAAATCTAGTAGTAGAGAGTATATTTCAATGAGAATGGCTTCCTACCTGTATATGGTTAATGTTGAAGGTAGATTACGAGACTGCTGTGGAGGGCTTTGGTGTTCTAGTGAATCACCATCCCTACTCTAAGAATTCATGTTTTACTAATCATGACTTACTCCTCTCCAATATAGGTATTTTTAGGAGAATGCCTTCTATAAATTACATTTACTTACATGCAATATCATTTTATGTAAGAAATGTGGCTCAGTTCTTTATGTTCTGTGCTTGTATGCTTCCTAAAATTTGTATTTAAGAGTTTTTTTTTTTTTTTTTTTTTTTTTTTAATTTAATTTTTAATTTTTTAATGTAGAAGCTGCAACAAATACAATGGAGAGAGATTTTTGGGCTTATTCTACACCTTTATTTGTCAACTTCAACCTTTCTATGCCAAATCATCTATATTCATATGGCTTCTTTTGTAACTCTTGGCCTAAACCATACATCTTTCCAGTGAAATTGGAAATTAGAAAAAAGTTGGAAATGCCATTTGGTTGTGGCTAAGTTTTGTCTAAGTTGTACATTCTTTAGTAGAGACCTAACTAACTTGGTTGAATAAGTAATTAAATTAGAATTAGAGTCCTAACTTTAAATTTTAAAATTTAAGAGTTGACTAGCCATTGTGAAATAACAAAATGATGTTTTTATTTTTATCTTTGATTTTTGCAATCTTAAATATCTTAACTCTCTTAAAAAAACCAACAATTGTTTAAGCAATATTTTTTTTATTATTTTTCTACAATCTTGCCAAATATTTGGATGTATTAAAATCATAGTGCAAAATCCATATGTTGAGGCCTATTTAATAAAATAGCAATTTTAAAAGATTTAAGACAATCCATCCATTTATTTTTATTGGCATTCTAACTCGTGCCTTGTAATTGAATTATTGGTAAAGAAATGAAGTCATACATCAACTTATAGAAATCAATCTATTCTCAATTTTTGAAAAGAAATATATCTTAGTTTAATAAATATATTATCCTTCTGATACATAAAATATGACTTTTTGTTAAAATTAAATATCTTAAGATTCTATTTATTTATTTATTTATTTTCTATACTAAATTATCTTTACTTTTCATAATTAAAATACCATTAATATGTTATGTATATTTTTGGATACAAATACAGATTTGAGCTAAGATAATTAATTATATTAAAGATATGATAAGATCCTAATATAAAAATCTATTATAAGCATCATAGAATAATTTAGATTAACCATTTTAGCTTAGATTCTACTAATCTATAACCAATTTTTAGATCTTGTTGTTTATTTGTGAAAAAAAATAAGAATCTATGCAAAGTTTTGTCACCCGATCATCTTTCTGGCTTAGCACAAAATCAATTGTGACATTAGATGCATCCACATAAACTTGGAATGGTTTTATCCAACAAGGTACTACTAATATTGGTGTTGAAACCAATTTCTATTTCAATATTTTGAATGCAATTGTACATTCCTTTTTTCAAAATGGACTGAATCTATCGGTTGGTGGTTTCTTCAAGAGATTTGTCAAGAGAAGGCATATAATTGTGAATAGATAGATAATTTGCGGATAATAACTGATATAGCCAACAAATGCTCGAACACCCGTAACCGTGTCTAGTTGCTTTAATTCTACTATAATCTTTATTTTATCCGGATCTGTAGTAATGCCTACCATCAAAACTATATGATCCAAAAATTTACCAGAAGACATACCAAATTGATACTTTTTCGAATTTAAAGAAATTCCATATTTGGCACATTGATTCAAACATTGACCTAGTGTCACGGCCATAATCATGTAAGCTAATAATTACATATAGAAATAGGTAGAAATAAGTAAAAGTAGATAAAAGTAAGTTAATTCTATAATATTTAATATAGAAGCTTCCTAGAAACTTCCTAGATGCTGCTTTGACTTCATAGGTGTCTTTAATTGACTTTTTGGATTAGAAACATGGTCAACAAGTTGGCCATGTGCCACACATGTTGTTAGCTTGAAGATCAAGCTAACTATGTGGCCTACACGTAGAAAAACTTGCCTTGTAAGTCAAGGCATGTGTCCTACAAAGTCAACACATATTGGAGATCCTATAGAACGTCGCCACGTAGCCCCTAGTTAGATAGTATATATAGAGACAAGAGTGAAGGCTTCTTCACTCTTGTCAACTCCTTTCTTGCTTCTAATCCAAGTTCAAGAGTCTTTAGTTTCTTTTCTTGTGGCAATAGCCATTCCAGTTTCCTTTTAATATACCTACTTGTTTATATTTTGACTTATTATATCGAGATAGCCTTTTTGTATATTTTCCCTCATCGAGTCTTTGTCCTTGATAGATTGACAAGAGTACACTTACAATATCAGAGCTTTGTTTTTCTTGAGTGAGAGTGGATTACCTCTTTCTCTTGACAAGACATAAGCGTATTAGAAGTTTGCGGATTACCCACTTCTAAACTGATATTGTTCTTAGTATCTTCTTTGTTATCAAGTCTTTCTTTTCTTTTGTCTTGAGCAGTATCAAACAAATTTTTCTTAGTGTCATTATGACAGAGCTTGTTGAAATGAAGAGTGCAATGGCACAAATGCAAGAGCAAATGAGGGAGTTAATACTTGCGATGCATCAACTCAATTCACCAACACATGAAAGAACAAGAATAGCAGAAAGTGGGGATATAGAGATGATCGGAGCTGCTTCAACATCTACAACAAATCACGTTCCTTCTCCAATTGTACAACACCCTATAAGCACTAGAGAACCAAGAATTGCCTTACCCGAGAAATTTGATGGTACGAGATCAAAGTTTCGAGGGTTCATCAATCAAGTACAATTGGCAATTGAACTTCAACCGCAAAGCTATCCAACTCCAGGATCACAAGTCAGGTTTATTGGCACTCTACTTTCTGGTTCTGCATTATCATGATTTTCGTCTTTTCTTGAACAACGAAATCCAATATTGGACAATTTGGAAGCTTTTTTGGCGGAGTTTCGATCTATGTATGGTGAACACGATGCAACTCGTGTTGCAACAAATAAGATCCGAATTCTGCGACAAGGAAATCGCTCAGTAACAGTATATGCTTCACAATTTCGACAACTTGCAATTGACATCAAGTGAGATGATGCTGCACTCATTAGTCAATTTCTTTATGGATTGCAATACGAAGTAAAGAAATTAATGCTCAACTTACCTGATCCTCAAACTTTGAGTCAAGCAATTGATTTTGCGGTAAAATGTGATAATCGACTTTTCAAATTTCGATCTGAGAATCATTCACGGGAACCTCAACGTTATTACTCAATGGCAACATCAACATCTTTGCCAAATGTACATTCGGAAGTAGAAGACATGCAAATTGACGTGGTATGTTTTAAACCCCTAACTGAGCAAGAAAAGATTCGTCATCGTCAAGAAGGATTATGTTTATATTGCGGAGAACCTAAGCACACTGCTCAACATTGTCCAAAGAAACGACGCAACTATAAAATGAGGGGTACGACGGTCAAAGAAGACAACATGTCGAAAAACGGATTCGTCCAGCTACAATAGGGACCATGCAGCTGGAACCTTGTACAATTCCTAATGAAGGTCCTATCCTCTCCTCAGAACCCTCTCCTTGTTTTATAATAGACTTATATTTAGGACCTAAGAATTACAAAGCCTCTGCTTTATTAGATTCGGGAGCCTCAGCATGTTTTTTAGATGAACAATTTGTTAAAAGTCGTAAAATACCGTTTGTACAGAAACCTAAACCAGTACATGTAGAAGTCATAGATGGTCGTCCCTTGTCTTCTGGAGATGTCACTCATGAAACTCATCCTATAAAAGTAACAATAGACGGTCATGATAGCTACATAGCTTTTAACATAATTAAATTCCCATCCAATCTAGTTATTTTAGGTTTATCCTGGCTAGAAAAATATAACCCTCGAATAGATTGGAATTCGCGTAAACTTGACTTTTTCCAGAGCGTTATTAATAGTTCTACTAACCAAGTAAAAAATTATAAGTCTAGTATAGTAAAACCCGCACTGATAGGTGCAAAAGCATTTATACACGCAGCAAAAGAAGGATCAACTTTTGCTATTTATGCTGCACCTATTTTTGAAAACGTAAAGACTTCAAGTGGCATTCCAAGTCAATATCAGGAGTATCAAGACGTTTTTGAGAAAAAGAATGCAGATATTCTTCCTGAGCATCATCCATATGATTGTTCAATCGACCTCAAGGAAGGAACTCAGCCACCATTTGGACCAATTTACAGTTTATTGGAAGATGAGATGGCTGAACTCAAGACATATATTGACGAGAATTTAGCGAAGAATTTCATACGCCATTCAAAATCTCCAGCAGGAGCTCCAATTCTATTCGTAAAGAAAAAAGATGGATCTTTACGAATGTGTGTTGATTATGGAGGACTCAACAAGATCACAATCAAGAACAGGTATCCATTACCTTTGATATCAGGACTCCTTGACCAGTTGAATCAAGCTAAGATCTATACAAAAATAGATCTAAGAGGAGCATATAATCTAGTACGGATCAAAGAAGGAGATGAAT